AGAATCAACCTCTCCCATTCAGTTCTGTTTCCACTGGAGAATAGGAAAAATTGCAGATAACCCCCCGGCTGTTGTATCGGGAGGAAAAATTTTATGCAGACTCTGGTAGTTTTTACCGGGGCTCACCCAGCAGATGGCGCGCAGCCCTGACATTAGAGTGTTAAAAATAAAAAAGTCTACCACATCCCCCCAAAGGGGCAAAAGATCCGGTTAAATTTTTATAAAAAAATCAATGTGAGCGTTTCAGGTCGCCAGCGTGGCAGTGCAATAATGTCATATATGTGCTAACAGATCAACCCACAAGGCGGCGACAAAGTCCCTGAAATTTTTTGGGTTTAAAAAAACCCAAAGTGAGCGTACCGGGAAAACGCCAGCAGATGGAGTTTAGTATCGTATGACGTAATGCCTGCCAGTCTAAAGCCATTTTATGTAAAAAATTGTTTAAAATCTTCGGAAAATGGCGGTCATCGCAGACGGAAATTTTTTGTGCCCGGGGAGAAAGCTGCTATTTTGTGAGTCTTCAAAAATATGTCCGCCATCCCCGACATTTTCTCTTAAATTTGTCCCCAGTTCCGGCATTTTTTGGATAAAACAAATACGAGGTGTTGGAGACAGCGTTATGTTTTGCATCTGATAAAAAACTGTTTTTACAATGACAAGCGCGGGAAAATGTTACTTGCCCCCCCTATAGTATTGATAATTTACGTTTTTTGAATTTGGACGCATTTTGCTTTGGGGAAACAGATGCGATCCTCCCCGGGATAGAAATATTGAGTCTGTGGGGGATGATCTTTTATAGACTCCCCCTAATTTACGAAACCTGCCCCTTTTGGGTTATCCTGGTATGACTCCCCTGTGTTATATACAAATAAAATTTACCGAAACGCTGCCTCCTTTGGATGATCCCGGGATGACACCCCTGGGTTTTTTCTATACAAAAAATATTACCGACACCGCTGCCCCTTGGGATAAACCCGGAAAACACCCCTTATTATGACATTTTCTGCCCCCTTTTTGGGGATCCCGGTATGACTTAATATGTTACTAAAAAATTCCAAAAGACTTTCCTGCGGCAACCTGGTATATTACCAATTCATAGAAGGACTTTGCTATAAAGAATATGTGATATTTATTTCATATGTGATTGCACTGTTACTACCAAACGTAATATATACTGTAACTCTTGCTTGCCTTCTCGTGCTATGATCCTTGGTTTGATGTGACTCGTGGAGCTTCTAAACCACAATAATCTTTACCCTCACATCTGCTGCATCCTTCTGGATCATCCTGATAGGAATCTCCCTGTGGTTTACTATACACATATTAACCAATGCTCTGCTGCTGCACCCTTGTTGATTATATTGTATGAAATTTTCCTGTGTTTTTATACCTTTATAATTTTACTGTCATTCCTCTGCCTTCTTGTTGACTATCCTTGTTATGTCCCCCTATATCCCCTTTTGTTACTATACACATAAACATTACCGAACACTAATGCTGCCTCCTTGTGGATGATCCTGGTATGACTCACCCTGGTGTTCTACTAAACACATAATGACACTCTCCTGCCTCCCTGTGGAATGATCCTGTTTAATGGACTCGCCCTGCCTCCTTGTGGATCATCCTGGTATGAAGATCCCGTGTTACTATACACAATGACACTTTGCTGCCTCTTTGTGGATGATTCTGGTATGACACCACTGTGTTACTATACACATATTACTGACACTCTGCTGCCTCCTTGTGGATGATCCTGGTATGACTCCCCGTGTTACTATACACATGACACTCTGTTGCCTCCTTGTGGATGATCCTGATATGACTTCCCTGTGTTACTATACACATATTACCGACACTCTGCTGCCTCCTTGTGGATGATCCTGGTATGACTCCCCTGTGTTCCTATACCCATATTACCGACACTCTGCTACCTCTTTGTGGATGATCCTGGTATGACTCCCCTATATTACTATACATGTAATATTACCGACACTCTGCTGCCTCTTTGTGGATGATCCTTGTATCACTCCCCGTGTTACAATACACATAATGACACTCTGCTGTCTCCTTATGGATGATCCTGGTATGGCTCCCCTGTGTTACTATACACATATTACCATGACTCTGCTGCATTCTTGTGGTTGATCCTAGTATAACTCCCTTTTGTTACTATACATATATTGCACTCTGCTGCCTCCTTGTGGATGATCCTGGTATGACTCTCCATGTGTTTCTGTACACATATTACTGACAATCTGCTGCCTCCTGGTGGTTGACCCTGGTATGACACCCCTGTGGTACTATACACATATTACCATCCCTCTGCTGCCATGTTGTGGTTGATTGTGGTGTGATTCTCCCTATGTTACAATGCACATAATATTACTGACACTCTGCTGCCTCCTTGTGGATGATCCTGGTATGCCTGCCCCTGTCACTATACATATAACATTAATGACACTTTGCAGCCTCACTGTGGTTGATCCTGGTATGACTCTCCGTGTTACTAGACATAAAACCATCACTCTGCAGTTGCAGGAGGAGGGGTGCTGTGTGCACAAGCGAGTGTGAAGTTGCTCTTAAACATGTGCAGGCTGTATACTGTACACCTATGTGATCCTGCAGTAAATGTACCATGGGCAGTCAGTATGGAAACATCTATGGTGTAGTGTTAAGCCTGCAGTCAGAGACAGACAGCATTATCTAGGGCAGGGTTTCCCAACTAGAGTTCTCCCACAGGATGCTGGGAGTTCCTTGAGCAATGAGCATATTCTGCCTCTCAGATAAGTGTGACACCATTCTTTTTAAGCGATCTGTGAAAGGTTAGTTTTTTCACAATGATCACAAATGTAAGTAGCATTCTTGTCACTGAACATCACTAATGTATAATTGGTTATAGATATATTTTCTGAGACCAGAACATTAATCCAAGGGTGATTGAAAAGGCAGACCTTAGAATTCAACTTGCAGTGTGACACAATTGGAATTATCTCCAGTGGAGAGATAAGTCTGCAGTTAGAACAGGTTTAGGTTCACTACCTTAAGAATCGGAGTGAGTACATAGATTTAGGCCTCATCCACACAGAGTGTTTGCTTTTTCTCCGCTGAATCCTGAGTTCCTAGCAGGAGAACAGCTGCTTAACAAAGGACCTAAAGCCACATACTTTCCATGAACCTAACACCACATCTGCAACCGCGGAAGCAATGGCAGGTTTTATTGACGAACCTGGAGAGGCAACAAAGTGTATGGACAAATGAATCTGTGATACAGAAACAATGGATCTATTGCTAAACACCGATGGTCATCCTGAGCGACTGAGCTAAAACAAGTATTCAAGCAGAAAATTCCACATTAGGGTTACTGACCAGCTAAATCATAAAAGATTAGGATGACAGCACAAAACCTTCAGCTTAAAAACAAGGCATAGGTTTTGGTGGTGGTGGTGGGGGGGGGGGGGGGGGGGGGGGTTGTTAATTTCTGTTCTGATGAGGTAATTGTAAAAAGCATATAATTATCTTGTATATAACAATATGGATCGATGTGGTCTATCAATAAAAAATAAGTTCCATCATTGCAATCAGCAGAAACGCACAGGTCACTGGGACTCAACTAGTACCTGTAGACTCCATAGGGGCCAAGTTGTTCTCTACCACAGACATTACAGCAGATATGAGCCATCATTATAGAAGAGCCTCACATAGTATATTTATTTTTAGAGCACACAGATATAGTCTGTTTCCAGAACAGCTCCAGGTCCCAGATCGGAGGGCAGCAGCAACAGTCATTCTAAAAATAAAATTTATTTTTTTCAGCCTCAGAAGCGTTTCATCTGTCGTCTTTCTTGGCGTCTCTGGCGTTTCTCATTTTGTTCTGGTGGAGCAGTGGAGGAGTCGTCTGCTGTAAACCAGGGGCCAAGTACATTTACCCAGAGCAGATACAGAGCCCGTCCAGGAGCCTGCAAGAAAGAAGGCAACATTCAGCTACAAGATTTGTTGTATGAATTCTCCCTCTGGGTGTAGGAGATGAAAATGGGATTTTTGGTCTGCCTGTGAAATCCTTTTCTTGGAGTACAGTACAGGACACAGAGCATCCTTATATTCATTACAATAGGGTAATGCTGCCACCTTCAGGTAACTGGACACTGACAAAAAAAAAAAAAAAAAAAAAACACAACCTCATCCTGGATTTAGTTTTTGTAGAAGGGCATGAACCCAAGAAAGAGGGGTGAGATGTCCAGTGATTTACTCTAAGAAAAGGATTTTAGAGGTAAACCAAAAACTCAATTTTCTTCATTGTACAACACAGGACACAAAGCATTCATATATTAAATTACAAAAAGGTATAGCTTAAAGCATTGGATATGAGGCGAGGGCAACAAGCAACAGCCCCCAATCAACTTAACACAACAGGTTAGAAACCTCATGCAGCAGTCCGCAACAAACACCAACTTAAAGGTGACATCCTCAACTACCCACCTAGTAAAAGCGTGACCTGAAGACCAGGTTGCAGTTTAACTAAACTTGAGCTACCAAAACCAGATGTCAAGTAGCCCAAGAAGAAGTAGCCACATTCCTGGGGAAACTATCTTGGGTAAAATTGACAGCCAAGGCCGCTGAGCCACCATGTCACCAGAAACAGTCCCGTACAGGAACAGCAAACATCTCCTGAACTTTGCAAGCTGAATAAATAGTAACAAGAAAAATAATCTTCCAAGTCAGAAGGACTAAGGAATATCCTGCATGGAATCAAAATGGCGAGATCTGCAATACATAAAGTACCATATAGAGGTCCCACAGAGTGCATTTGGTGTCTGGAGACTCCTGGACTGCCCCTAAGCACCGCTATGTAGTATTCAGGGCAGCCCATGAGTACATGACAGTACAAAATACAGCAAAAACAACAGTAAGAAATACAAATGTATAACAACTGCACTGTAATTAAAAAAAAAATAAAAAATGGCCATACAGAAAATGCCGTTATTTACCTGTTAACTGTATTTCCGGGAATCTTCCTGGACAGCTTCACATGACAGATAGGCTCCTCCCACCAGGAAACACCCAATCCACTTTTTCTCCCACAAGTTGCCTCTCTCCACAATAGACCCTCAGTACTGGAATATTACCAAAGGCCTAGGATAAAGAAGATAACAGTAGGAACAATATATGTCCAGTCCATTGAATGACTGGAACGCCAGCATGTAACTATACAGTAATCGGGAGGGAGCTACGCTGTCCTGGAAGATTGCTGGAAATACAGTTAACAGGTAAATAACTGCGTTTTCCCAAGTCATCTTCCAGGACTGCTTCACATGAGAGGATTGAATAGAATACCTACATTAGGGTGGGACTGCCGCTTGCAAGACCTTCCTGCCAAACACCTGGTCCTTGTTGGCGATCATGTCCAACCAGTAGTGCCTGGCAAAGATACTGAAGCTGGACCATGTTGCGACCCTACAGATCTATCCGGGTTTGGCGCCAGCTCTCTCTGCCCATATAGCTGCGGTGGCCCTAGTCGAGTGCGCTTTGAAGCCAGGTGGTGGTGCCAGTGACACGGTTTTGTATCCTTCCAGGATGGCTTCTGTTATCCATCTTGTGATGGTGCCTTTAGAGCCATTATATGCCTTACTTGGTCCTTGAAATAAGATGAAGAGGCTGGGCGAGCGTCTCCATGCTTTAGTGTGCTTGATGTACGCTATTAGGCATCTTCTTACATCAATTTGTTGTAGTCTCTATCTGTGACGTTGCTCGGGCTCCTGCAAAAGGAGGGTATTACAATTTCTTGTATTCTATGGAAATGGGACGTGACCTTTGGTAGAAATGCCGGATCCGTATGGAGGATAATCCTATCCACCAGGATTGTGCAGTAAGGCTCTATTATTGACAGAGCTTGCAGTTTGCTGACTCTGCGAGCAGAGACCAGGGATATCAGGAGGGTGGTTTTGAGGGTCAAGTGCCTGGGAGAGCATTTTCCCAAGGGTTTTGAATGGCTCCTGCTGGAAACCTTTTAAAACTGTGCCTAGATCCCAGAGCGGGTATTTTGGCACGCAAGGGACTCTGTGTATGGAGATAGTTCTCAGGAATCTGAACACCAGGGGATCCTCTGCTAACTTCAGCTCCAGGAAGTTAGACAGGGCAGCTACTTGCACTTTGAGTGTATTGGCGGTTAAGTTATTGTCTGCCCTGTCCACAGGTCCGTTAGGCTCAGCTTCTTCAGGAAGGAGAACCATGACCTTTTGGTCCAGAACAGAGCGATCAGGATGACTCTGGCCTGAGACGTCTGTATTTTCTGTACCACTCTTGGTAGTAGTCTGAATGGTGGAAAAGCGTAAAGGAGGTCCCCCTTCCATGGCTAGGCCAATGCATCTGTCCCTGCACTCTGGGGGTCTCTTTGAAGGCAGAAGTACTTTCCTAGTTTTAAATTCCTTCTGCTGGCAAAGAGATCTATGGAGGGAGTGCACCATCTGCTGTAGATTTGGGCGAACGCTGTGCAGCTGAGGCACCATTCTGACTGGTTGATTTCCTCTCGGCTCAGCTGGTCCGCTAACAGGTTTAGGTTCAGATGGAACGGTGTGATGGATTTCAGGTTTCTTTCTGCCCAGCTCAGGAGGGTATCCACCAGTTCCATTAGTCTTGAGGACCTCGTGCCTCCTTGCCTGTTCAAGTATGTGACGGCTGTCATGCTGTCCAACAGGATTTGAATCTCTTTCCTTCTAATTTTCTCCTGAAAGGCCGTAAGCGCTCTGAAAACTGCCAGTAATCAGCTGACGTTTGGTGACCTTTTAGTGGTTTCCAGGTCCCACTTGCCCTGGGTCAGGCAAAACTCTATGTGTGCGCCCCAGCCCCGCATGCTTGCATCTGTGCTGATTTTTGTTGGGTTGGATTGTTTCCATCTTCTCCCAGCCTCCAGCGTGTGGATGTTTCCCCACCACTCCAATGACTCTCTCACTTTGCGCGTGAGGCGAATGATGGAATCCAGAGACGCTTGGCTGCCATCCCAGTGGAAGAGGACATGATTCTGTATGGTTTTGGAGTGTAGTTGCGCCCATTGTACCCCCGGTATGGCTGCTGTCATGTGGCCGAGGAGCTTCATGGTGTTTCTGATTGTGCAAATTGCTATCACCCGGAGGCTCCTTGTGTCTTGCTGTAGTCTGAGCACTTTTTCTGGAGTCATGTATAAGCAGGTGCTTGTGGAATCCAGAATGTATCCAAAATATGTGATTCTGTTGGAAGGGAATAACTGTGATTTCTCTGTATTTATTAGCCATCCTAGGTTTTCCAAGAAGGATATTGTATGCTCCATGCGGCATTTCAGAGCTCTTTCCGTGTCCACAACCAAGAGTAGGTCGTCCAAGTAGGGGATAACGTTTATCCCTTCTAGTCTCAAGGCTTGCAGAGGTTCCGCTAGTGCTGAAGACAGAACGAAAGGAAGTGCATTGAATTGGAACAAGAACGTTCTGTTCTTGCCCTTTAGCGCGAACCTTAGGAACTTTCTTGATTCCTCCCTTATTGGGATGTGAAGGTATGTGTACTTTAGGTCTATTGATTCCATGAATACTCTGGGAGGGAGGATGTATTTCATCATGTAGATTGTCTCCATGTGGAATTTTTTGGGTTTTACGAATTCGATCACTTTCTTTAGGTTGAGTATCATTCTGCATTTCCCAGACGTCTGCCTTCATAGAAAAAAAATGGGAGTAAAATCCCCTTCACATCTCTTCTTCCTCCAACTGATTGACCACGTTCTGTTGGAGTATTTCCTCCAGGAGGTTCACGACTGCGTCTGCCTTTCCCTCCTCCCTTGGCAGTGGAGTCGCGAAGAACCTTTGAGGGGGGAGTTGTGAAAATTCTATCCTGTAGCCGTTTCGAATTGTGTCTAGGATGAATGCATTCTGGGTAGTCTGTAGCAATTGCGTGTGGAAGTGTCCCAGTCTTCCTCCCACCTGGCTCCGCCAATCACTTGGACTGAGTTTTGGTTTTGTCCTGGTTAAGGATGAAGAGAAAGCCTCCCTTCTCCTTTCCTCTTTTTGAGACCCAGCCTTGCATCTGCCCCTGAAATCTGACCTCTCTCGTTGCATGCTGCCTGTTGGGACGAAAAAAACTTCCGTTCCACTTGCCTGCTGGGGACTGGATATCCTTTCCTTTTTTGTCGGCAGACTTCGAGGACTGAAGTCAGTTCTGGCCTGAAAAGGAGCTTTCCCTCAAAGGGAAGGCCGCAGATTCTGGATTTGGAAGCGATGTCCCCCCTGCCAGGATTTCAACCAAATAGCTCTTCGGGCTGCGTTTATGAGCACAGTTGATCTTGTTGTATATTTAATGGTTTCTGCCGATGCATCTGCAATAAACGCCACTGCTTTTTCCAAAACCGGTAGCGATTTAAGAATTTCCTCAGACGGCGTGCCTTGTTCAAGGTGTGAGCAGAGCTGGCCCAACCATACGTCTAGGATTCTGGAAATGCAGGTTGTTGCTATTGCTGGTTTAAAGTTTACTACGAACGCTTCACACGCTCTTCTGAGAAATGTGTTGACCTTGTGGTCCATTGGGTCCTTTAGGGAACCTCCGTCTTCGAAAGATAAATCTGTGGATTTCAAAATCTTTGAGGGGAGCATCCAGTTTTGGGCAAGACTCCGACATAGACACATCTTCCCCCTCCATTCCAAATCTTCCCTTTTTATGGTAGACCATAGGGTGGAATGGACTGGGAACGTGGGGCTGATTCTCTTTTGAAGCCCTGCATATAGCTGGTCATGCAGAGAGAGATCCGGCTGTTCCTCTTCTAAGTCTAGAGTGTCGTAGATTACTTTCAAGAGGCCTTCTGCACCTTCTATTTGAAAGAGGAACCTCTGCGCCCTGTGATCCTGGTCTTCCATCTCACCTTCCTCCGAGTCAGAAATGCTGGAAAGTTACTCTTCTCGGACAATGCCCGGTTCCTGTTTTCTCTTCTTAGCTGGCAAGAAAATGCTTGAGGTGCCGCGTTGAGGCTCCTCCGGGGTTGGTTCCTGCATCTGTTCCCTAAAGTTTTGAAAGGTTTGGGACATCTCCTGTGTCATGTTTTGTAGGAAATATTTAAAGAGGGACCCCGACTCTTTTTTGATCAGCTTATCGATGCACTCCTGGCACAGCTGCTTTTTCCAAGCGCTAGCGAGTTTCTTTTTGCAGGTAGCGCACTTTCTCTTTGTCCTACAAAAAGCGTCCTTTTCCTGCCTATCCTCCTCCAGTGGGCCCATCTAAGGACAGGGAGACACAAGGTATAGGCCTCCTGTAAGCCGAGGGCCCTAGGGGGACACCCGCTCCCCCCCCAACAGTGCACCCACTGGCAGACCCGAGATTCCCAAGGTGCTCGAGAGAGAGGGAAGAGGTAGGAGAGAGAAGGGAGGAGTAAGGGAGAGGAGGAAAGAGAGCCTCGTACCCCCTCTCGGGTCCTCCTCCCTGAGACAGCAGATAGGAGGAAGCATGAGGGGTATAGAGAGGGGAGTCATGCCAGCTGACAGGCTCCTACCTTGTTGCTGGTCTCCCCAGCTCAAACAGATCCGCCTCCATTCTGATCGCATCCCGCCCTTGGTGCGGCTCTGTTTGTAGGGTGGGTGGGGCTCTGCCCTGGGGTCCGGTTTCGCCTACCTCCCCTCACGGCCGTGGTGTGGGGCAAACTTGCGGATCGCCACCCATAACCAAGATGGCAGCAGTCTGCTTCCTGTTCCTCGGTTGCCGATAGTGACATTCGCGAGTCCCGGAGCTCGAGAGTGATGTCATCGACCCGTGTCTTCCTCCCACCTGGCTCCTCCCATCGGAGATGGCGTGCAGCGGAGGAAAGGTAGGGTTTGCCCCACAGGATAGTGGTCCCTTACCCGATAGTTGGAGGAGCGGAATCTAGCCCCCCTGGTAAGCCCCGCAGGACCAAAGGAGAGGGTGCTATCTCCCCCAATCCACAGGAAACCCTGAGTGAGGCCACCCTGCAAGGCCCCTGCCTTGCTGAAGAGAAAGGGGTAGCCCCACTCAGGAGGCCTCTGTACCCCGCCAGACGGCTATAACACAAAAAAACAAAACGGGAGTCGTTCCTGGCTGGAGGAAACACTAATACTGAGGGTCCCTTGTGGAGAGAGTCTACTTATGGGAGGAAAAGTGGATTGGGTGTTTCCTGGTGGGAGGAGCTTGTCATGTGAAGCTGTCCTGGAAGATGACTTTGGAAAACACCCCTTTCCTTGTCCCACCCAGGGTGGGAAGGAGGGTAGAGAGATATGGGAAAGGGGGGGGTCACCAAGGATAAGGGGGTCACCTGCAGGAGCTACTTCAGGGCACTCACCTATCCAGCCACTAGATCCTCATGGGTATCCAATCTTCACCCACCACAGCGAGCTATAAGAGCCTTCAGGCATTCAACTTCTGACCTGGACCGGTATAGCACCCTACCGGGCCACCAAGTAATATATCATTGCACTTCAACAGGGTCCAATGCCAACCAGCAACTTTAAAGGGTCATCCTTGTGGTGTATGGTGCAGGATCTGGGTGTGATTCCTCTGAGCAGTGACAAGCCATAGGAAAACAGTCCCAGAAACAGCTTATCTCCTAATCCTAGATAAAAGCCATTGTTGTACCTTGCCTAAAGTGGAGGAGTTATGGCTGGAAAGGGACTTCCTGTCTTGTTCTTTTGTTGCCAGTGTCCAACCATCAAAGGTGGCAGCATAACCGTCTTCAGAATGAATATATAGGACACTCTGGTCCTGTGATTTACAGTAAAGAAAACACTACACATCAGAGCAGAGGTCCTTGACACTCTGACCACAGCAAAGGGACAGAGCCATATGGGGGTGTACATAAATGCTGATCATGACCACTTAGTTTTATTGGGTTGGGTGGAAAACAGATCTTTTACCGGGCCACCCCTGGTACCATGTGATCACTGTGACCAATCACAGCAATCACGTCAATAGTACACAATGGCTTTCATTAATAGCCATTTATTATGTACTATTGTGATCTCTGTGATTGGTCACAGTGATCAAATGGTACAGACAGGTCACAACACCCCTGTACCATGTGATAGCTGTGGCCAATCCCAGCTATCACAATTGTACACAATGGCACATGAATAAATGTCATTCATAAAAAAATGATTTCTTATAACAATGATCACTGTAATAAGCAAAGAGTGAAAAAAAAATCCTGATCACCTCCCCCCGAGCAGCACAGTGTCTAAACACTGTCAGACCCTAAAAAAAAACCTTGCCATGCCTTTAATTACCTTAGACTGTCTAATTTGTAAAAAGGGGTCATGGAGAGGGGCTGGGGTGTTGTCATGGCCTTTTACTGCCTCAAGAAATGAGATTGTCTGTCAGCACATCAGGATTGATCAATTTTCATATCTATATCACATAGTTTGTAATCTCTATAACGTTCACACAGATTAAATAATATACACCGATGTGGGTTATTGTTACAAAATAGAATATATTAGAATACATTGTGACCTAAATTTATGAAGAAAAAAATATTATCTATTTTCAAAATTTTATAAACAGAAACATAGAAAACGTGGAGATTGAATACCACCAAAAAAAAAGCTCTAACTCATGGTCTCAAGAATTATGTAACGTTAATTTGGGTACAGTGTTGCATAACTGAATAATTGTTATTCAAAGTTTGACAGCGCTGAAAATGTAAAAATGGCCTGGGCAGGAAGGGGATAAAAGGTTCTGGTACTGAAGTGGTTAAAACATATGCAACCTATAGCATTCACCTGCAGCGAATATTTTGTGAATGTCAGCTTTATATTCCCTTTAGAGTCTATATACTCTTCTCTAGTCCCCTGCAGTGAAAGGCACACTGTAAAAAGAACAAAACATTTCCTTTTCTAGACACAAGTCTGAATTGATTTTTAGACATGGCAAAGCTGGGAGAGCTGAAATCAGCACACACCAGAGCAATATTGTCTGAACAAATCCTCATACTGATCTCTAGAAACATCTACTGCTGGCACCTAGGGAGTAAAGACAAGAAGCCAACAAAAAATACTCACCAGCAGCCAAAAGTACCAGACATAGAGAGAGAAGCAGCTCAGAACCTGCACAATGGCCGTCAGAAGCACCACATCCTTCAGGTGTCTGAAAAGAAAAGGGTAACTATCAATCAGTACAGGAGCGGGCGAACATTTGTCAGTACAGGAGAACTGACCGCACAATGAGAATCTACTATAGCCAGCGTCTTGTACCCTTCAGTCTGTAGCTACTTACTGGATCTACATTATCTACAGAGCATTCATCTGCCAAAAACAAACAGGTAAAGTGGCTGAGGTGAGGAGAATGATACAATACAAAATATGGAGACTATCATAAGTAAACTGAGGAGGAGTACTAATACTCTGCAGTGGTGCGGAATGGGATCAGATCCTCTGCAGTGGTGAGCAATGCCATCAGATCCTCTGCAGTGCTGAGCAATGCGATCAGATCCTCTGCAGTGCTGAGCAATGCGATCAGATCCTCTGCAGTGCTGAGCAATGCGATCAGATCCTCTGCAGTGCTGAGCAATGCGATCAGATCCTCTGCAGTGCTGAGCAATGCGATCAGATCCTCTGCAGTGCTGAGCAATGCGATCAGATCCTCTGCAGTGCTGAGCAATGCGATCAGATCCTCTGCAGTGCTGAGCAATGCGATCAGATCCTCTGCAGTGCTGAGCAATGCGATCAGATCCTCTGCAGTGCTGAGCAATGCGATCAGATCCTCTGCAGTGCTGAGCAATGCGATCAGATCCTCTGCAGTGCTGAGCAATGCGATCAGATCCTCTGCAGTGCTGAGCAATGCGATCAGATCCTCTGCAGTGCTGAGCAATGCGATCAGATCCTCTGCAGTGCTGAGCAATGCGATCAGATCCTCTGCAGTGCTGAGCAATGCGATGAGCAATGCGATCAGATCCTCTGCAGTGCTGAGCAATGCGATCAGATCCTCTGCAGTGCTGAGCAATGCGATCAGATCCTCTGCAGCGATGATCCTCTGCAGTGCTGAGCAATGCGATCAGATCCTCTGCAGTGCTGAACAATGCGATCAGATCCTCTGCAGTGGTGAGCAATGCGATCAGATCCTCTGCAGTGCTGAACAATGCGATCAGATCCTCTGCAGTGGTGAGCAATGCGATCAGATCCTCTGCAGTGGTGAGCAATGCGATCAGATCCTCTGCAGTGGTGAGCAATGCGATCAGATCCTCTGCAGTGCTGAGCAATGCGATCAGATCCTCTGCAGTGCTGAGCAATGCGATCAGATCCTCTGCAGTGCTGAGCAATGCGATCAGATCCTCTGCAGTGCTGAGCAATGCGATCAGATCCTCTGCAGTGCTGAGCAATGCGATCAGATCCTCTGCAGTGGTGAGGAAAGTAAAAGGATACTCTGCAGAGACAGAGCATAGCACACTGAAAGGAAGGGTAATTGTGAAGATGGATAAATCATTTCTACTATGCAGAGCAAAGTACAGAAGCAGGCGAGTAGACAGCAGAAACATCAGCAAAAGTAAAATCGGCAGTTTGTATTTGCTATGAAAAGCAGATACAAACAGTAAATGTATTTGTTAGGAGGTATTGCTAATGTCATGAGGAAATATGTAAGGAGCAGATTCTGTGGACTATGCTCCAGAGAACTGACCTGCACACATTTTCCTCTGCATCCATTATAAGTGTGCAAGGCTGGAATGTTATGGACTACCACCATGTGCAAATAGATCTATTATGGCGAGAGATATGTCTGTGTGCACCTAGTGCAATGCCACAACAATGTCAGAGGAGGAGGGTGAAGGTCTAATAACGAGGCCACACAGCAAGAAAGAGGTGGAATCCAGTGCACTTCATCCCTACGGGACCTATTGTCAGCGATCCCCCAGAGTACAATATACACAGGGACTAGAAAGACATTTCTGCTGAGCACACACTGCTGGATACGATGCAGCTCTAGAAGTCCTCACACACAGCACAACACATACCAAAATACGATCCGACATTAGAAAGACATCTATGCTCAGGGCGGCACAGATAATAGCCTCTGACACCAGAAGGCTACACATCATTGTCAGTAAATGTAATTCTACAGAAAAGTGTAGACTGCAGAAGATGAGCAGAGACTTCAACCATCTACAAGGAGTTGCTGGAGACTGGGGACATGCTGCAGGAGAGAGTCATGGACCACTACATGAGACCATAGAGGGGTAAGATTAGGGTGCTCCCTACAGCCCCCCTAAAATGACTTGTGTTAAATATGTATATTTGAAACACAGACCAAATGGTCAAACCTCTGGGGCACCAGAACACAATCGTATATAAAATAGCAAATACCAAAAGTTGTTTTTTCTATTAACAAGAGCCATTGTAAACGATAAAAGAGAAAAACAACATCTTAGCTCAAAAGGGTTAATATTTACACTTTATTGCAGGCTAATCTATGTGGCGCCCCACTGAAGGAATAATACGAATGGTAGGCTATTTGACCATCCATGACGCATTAGAATTGTATCACCAGCAAGTAATAATAATTTGATACAATTATATACTATCGACCAAACATATGTTACTCTATGTCATTTGCATGTAATGGGGGGTATGTTAACCACAAATTGTATATGTGGTCACAAATCTGGGGTGGATGTTTTGCACTTGATATGGTTTTGCCCTGAAATAGCAGCATATTGACAGCAAGCCATAGCTAAATTGTTGCCTATTTTGTCTGACCCTTCTGCAGATTGTCAGTGTATCTGTCTGTCCATATTATGTAGGACAGGCAGTTACTGAGGGACAGGAAGGATCAATGAACTACCTAGAGCGCTCATCAACTCCATGGTAGTTCATTAAGAACCACAAGCCATCAGCCGCAATGGCGGACGGTAGTTGTAGTTATCCCATTCACAGAGCTCTGTGAATAAATTATGTGGCCGGGTAGGTGGAGCTCCAAAACGGTCACATTTTTTTTTTTTAATTGTGAGAACGGGTGCGAGAAGATCCCCTGCCCGCTGTCATAATGAGGACTCGGGGTGTAGGGGCTGCTGCATCAGTAACATGTTACACCCTGAATACGAGTGTAACATGTTAAGGAAGGTGAACTTATCCTTTAACCCCTAAAAGATTTTTCTTTCAATTGCTTCAGAAAGCACAAAAAAGAAAAAGAAAACATAGAACAGTGTCTGCAGAGAGATCCCAGGGGCCACCCAGTAACTAGCTCAGGGCCACAGAAGCCCCAACTGGGGTCCAAGCTATTATTTCAAGAATGAATATCTAATTGATTATACCAATTATTTCAAGAAGATGAAAGTTAATACTCAGCCATTCCTTGCTCCATGTTCAGGTCAATTCCCCCATCCAGCAAAGTTCCATCTTCTGAGAAGGATGCTTGGGCCATTCCTCGCATGGAGCGATATGCTGCAGTGTACACAGCTCCACTGAAAACCAGAAAGGCCTGCATGAGGAGAGGGAGGAGGTTACCCTGTGTGTCTGCACCTGAAATATCACGGGAAGATCACATCCCATCTTCTATGACCCTCCCCAGACATGGAATACTGGAGAGAGATCACGTCTGATCTTCTATGACCCTCCCCAGACATGGAATACTGGAGAGAGATCACATCCCATCTTCTATGACCCTCCCCAGACATGGACTATAGGGGGAGATCACATCCCATCTTCTATGACCCTCCCCCAGACATGGAATACTGGAGAGAGATCACATCCCATCTTCTATGACCCCCCCCAGACATGGAATACTGGAGAGAGATCACATCCCATCTTCTATGACCCCCCCCCAGACATGGAATACTGGAGAGAGATCACATCCCATCTTCTATGACCCTCCCTAGACATGGAATATAGGGGGAGATCACATCCCATCTTCTATGACCCTCCCCAGACATGGACTATAGGGGGAGATCACATCCCATCTTCTATGACCCTCCCCAGACATGGAATACTGGAGAGAGATCACATCCCATCTTCTATGACCCCCCCCAGACATGGAATACTGGAGAGAGATCACATCTGATCTTCTATGACCCCCCCAGACATGAACTATAGGGGAGAGATCACATCCCATCTTCTATGACCCTCCCCAGACATGGAATAGTGGAGAGAGATCACATCCCATCTTCTATGACCCCCCCCAGACATGGAATAGTGGAGAGAGATCACGTCTGATCTTCTATCTATGACCCTCCCCAGACATGGAATACTGGAGAGAGATTACATCCCATCTTCTATGACCCCCCCCAGACATGGAATACTGGAGAGAGATCACATCCCATCTTCTATGACCCTCCCCAGACATGGAATACTGGAGAGAGATCACGTCTGATCTTCTATGACCCTCCCCAGACATGGAATACTGGAGAGAGATCACATCCCATCTTCTATGACCCTCCCCAGACATGGACTATAGGGGGAGATCACATCCCATCTTCTATGACCCCCCCCCCAGACATGGAATACTGGAGAGAGATCACATCCCATCTTCTATGACCCTCCCCAGACATGGAATACTGGAGAGAGATCACGTCTGATCTTCTATGACCCCCCCCAGACATGGAATACTGGAGAGAGATCACATCCCATCTTCTATGACCCTCCCCAGACATGGAATACTGGAGAGAGATCACGTCTGATCTTCTATGACCCTCCCCAGACATGGAATACTGGAGAGAGATCACGTCTGATCTTCTATGACCCTCCCCAGACATGGAATACTGGAGAGAGATTACATCCCATCTTCTATGACCCCCCCCAGACATGGAATACTGGAGAGAGATCACATCCCATCTTCTATGACCCCCCCCCAGACATGGAATACTGAAGAGAGATCACGTCTGATCTTCTATGACCCTCCCAAGACATGGAATACTGGAGAGAGATCACATCTGATCTTCTATGACCCTCCCCAGACATGGAATACTGAAGAGAGATCACGTCTGATCTTCTATGACCCCCCCCAGACATGGAATACTGGAGAGAGATCACATCCCATCTTCTATGACCCTCCCCAGACATGGAATACTGGAGAGAGATCACATCCCATCTTCTATGACCCTCCCCAGACATGGAATACTGGAGAGAGATCACATCCCATCTTCTATGACCCCCCCCAGACATGGAATACTGGAGAGAGATCACATCCCATCTTCTATGACCCCCCCAGACATGGAATACTGAAGAGAGATCACGTCTGATCTTCTATGACCCTCCCCAGACATGGAATACTGGAGAGAGATCACATCTGATCTTCTATGACCCTCCCCAGACATGGAATACTGGAGAGAGATCACGTCTGATCTTCTATGACCCTCCCCAGACCTGAACTATAGGGGGGAGATCACATCCGATCCTATGTGACCCTCCCCAGACCTGAACTATAGGGGGAGATCATATCCAATCCTATGTGACCCTCCCCAGACCTGAACTATAGGGGGAGATCATATCCAATCCTATGTGACCCTCCCCAGACCTGAACTATAGGGGGAGATCACATCCAATCCTATGTGACCCTCCCCAGACCTGAAATATCGGGCAGAGATCACATCCGATCCTATGTGACCCTCCCCAGACCTGAAATATTGAGGGGAGATAATATCCAATCTTCTATGACCCTCCCCAGACCTGAAATATCGGGCAGAGATCACATCCGATCCTATGTGACCCTCCCCAGACCTGAAATGTCAAAGTGAGATCACATGTGGTCTTATGCGATTTCCTCACAGATGGATAATCAGAGATCGCTCACCCAGCTCCAGAAGGAGGACGAACTGTAGAAGATTCCCAGACTGACGGCTCCATACAAAACCTAATTTGGAGACATAAGTGGTAATAAATCATCTTACAATCCATTAATTGGCAGCAACAGACGTTACAATCACTATTCACCGTTAGAGTAAAAATACCCCCCCCCACCATTTACTACATACGCATCATAATTACAAATGAGGATTTATCATGGAGCGCACGTCTCAAGGTACAGCACACACGTCACATATCATGGGGCACAGCACACACATCACACGTCCCGGGGCACAGCACACACACGTCTTGGGGCACAGCGCACACATCACACGTCCCGGGGCACAGCGCACACATCACACGTCCCGGGGCACAGCGCACACATCACACGTCTCGGGGCACAGCACACACACGTCCCGGGGCACAGCGCACACATCACACGTCCCGGGGCACAGCACACACGTCCCGGGGCACAGCGCACCCGTCTCGGGGCACAGCACACACGTCCTGGGGCACAGGGCACTCACACACGTCCCGGGGCACAGCGCACTCACACACACACGTCATAGGGCAAAGTGCACACACATCACACAGCGCACACACGTCATGGGCACAGCGCACACACGTCACGGGCACAGCGCACGTCAAACAAAGAAAGGTTTCTGGCTCCATCTTATCAGGAACCCAACAGAAAAGTTGAAAGTAGATTGGAAGGTGTGGGGCCCCAGAACACTCACAGTGGCCCCCAGAATGATTCGCAGATAAAAGCTCAGCGTCTCTTTGTTCTCCTCATAAATCTGTTTCTTCCCCTTTGTACCGACTTTTCCTTTAGGCTGTAAAAAGAAATGACAAGATAGCGACATATTTCAGGTTCTAGAATCTGCCATGTGATGGATCAGGGAAACAATAGAATGATCCACCAATCCATCTCCACTAAATTCAACCTGACCACCCCCAATCCGCATGACCCCTCCCCACCCCCAATCCGCCTGAACCCCTCCCCACCCTCAATCCGCCTGACCCCCTACCCACCCCCAATCTACATCACCCCACCCTCAATCCTCCTGAGCCCATCCCCATCACCCCTCCCCCACCCTCAATCCACCTGACCCTCTACTCACCCCCAATCTACATTACTCCACCCCACCCTCAATCTGCTGACCCCTGACCCCCAATCCCCCCACCCCCCTCAATCACCCCATCCCCAATCAACATCAGATCACCCCACCCTCAATCCGTCTGACCCCCCCCCACCCTTAATCTATATCATCCCACCCCACCCTCAATCCTCCTGACCCCACCCTCAATCCGCCTGACCCCACCCTCAATCCGCCTGACCCCACCCCGCCTAACCCCCTAACCACCCTCAATCCACATGACCCCCTAACCACCCCCAATCTACATCACCCCACCCATTCCTCAATCCTCCTGAGCCCATCCCCGTCACCCTCCCCTTCCCTCAATCCACCTGACCCTCTACTCACCCCCAATCGATATAACTCCACCCCACCCTCAATCCGCCTGACCCTCTCCCCCACCCCCAATCTACATCACCCCACCCCATCCTCAATCCTCCTGACCCCATCCCCAATCAACATCAGCCCTCCCCACCCCCAATTCACCTCACCCCACCCTCAATCTACCTGACCCCCTCCCCACCCTCAATCCACCTGGCCCCCTAACCACCTTCAATCCACATGACCCCCTCCACACCCCCAATCTACATCACCCCACCTATTCCTCAATCCTCCTGACCCCATCACCCCTCCCCACCCCCAATTCACCTCACCTGACCCCCTCCCCACCCTCAATCCGCCTGACCCCCTACTCACCCCCAATCACATTACTCCACCCCACCCTCAATCTGCCTGACCCCCTACTCTCCCCCAATCAATCCGCTGACCACCCCACCCTTAATCCTCCTGACCCTCTCCCACCCCCAATCCAAATCACCCCACCCTCATTCATTCTGACCCCACCCCCAATCTGCCTGACCCCTCCCCATCCCCTGGTCAGTGAGGTGCGCACCCTTAATCCTCAGTGAGGTGCTCAGTGATTAGTAAGGAGGATCCAAGTGACCCGCAGTGATTAGTAAGGAGGAGTGGTCAGTGAGGTGCCAGTGATTAGTAAGGAGGTGTGGCCAGTGAGGTACGCCCCATCCCTGGAGGAGTGGTCAGTGAGGTGCGCAGTGATTAGTAAGGAGGTGTGGTCAGTGAGGTGCGCAATGATTAGTAGGGAGGTGTGGTCAGTGAGGTGCGCAGTGATTAGTAAGGAGGTGTGGTCAGTGAGGTGCGCAGTGATTAGTAAGGAGGAGTGGTCAGTGAGGTGCGCAGTGATTAGTAAGGAGGAGTGGTCAGTGAGGTGCGCAATGATTAGTAAGGAGGAGTGGTCAGTGAGGTGCGCAGTGATTAGTAAGGAGGAGTGGTCAGTGAGGTGCGCGCAGTGATTAGTAAGGAGGTGTGGTCAGTGAGGTGCGCAATGATTAGTAAGGAGGAGTGGTCAGTGAGGTGCGCAGTGATTAGTAAGGAGGTGTGGTCAGTGAGGTGCGCAATGATTAGTAGGGAGGGTGGTCAGTGAGGTGCGCAGTGATTAGTAAGGAGGAGTGGTCAGTGAGGTGCGCAGTGATTAGTAAGGAGGAGTGGTCAGTGAGGTGCGCAGTGATTAGTAAGGAGGTGTGGTCAGTGAGGTGCGCAGTGATTAGTAAGGAGGTGTGTCAGTGAGGTGCGCAGTGATTAGTAAGGAGGAGTGGTCAGTGAGGTGCGCAGTGATTAGTAAGGAGGTGTGGTCAGTGAGGTGCGCAGTGATTAGTAGGGAGGTGTGGTCAGTGAGGTGCGCAGTGATTAGTAAGGAGGTGTGGTCAGTGAGGTGCGCAGTGATTAGTAAGGAGGTGTGGTCAGTGAGGTGCGCAGTGATTAGTAAGGAGGTGTGGTCAGTGAGGTGCGCAATGATTAGTAGGGAGGTGTGGTCAGTGAGGTGCGCAATGATTAGTAGGGAGGTGTGGTCAGTGATTAGTAAGGAGGTGTGGTCAGTGAGGTGCGGTCAGTGATTAGTAAGGAGGTGTGGTCAGTGAGGTGCGCAATGATTAGTAGGGAGGTGTGGTCAGTGATTAGTAAGGAGGTGTGGTCAGTGAGGTGCGCAGATTAGTAGGGAGGTGTGGTCAGTGATTAGTAAGGAGGTGTGTGGTCAGTATGGAGATTTCTGTGACGTATACAGTGATGTCATGAGGAAATGGCGTGTAGTAGGAATGTGCAGTAGTCAGTAATTTAGTTAGTATGGACAGGGATCAGTCAGGTGTGCAGTGGTTAGCAAAGAGCATAAGTCAGTAAAGTTGGGGCTCAGCTCAGACTGCCCATAGTAAAGATGGCGCTGTGGATTCCCTCTGTGCTATCTCCTCATTGTCAGCGCTCGTTTATCTCACCGCCATCCCTGCAGCTCATCTCCAGCTCAGCACACGGGGTACATCCGGCGCGCTACAAGGGACGTCATCAACCGGCACTGTGTGGGCAGTAGGAATTACCACTTCCGCCCTTGTTTTGGTGACGGCAAGTAGTTATTGCGTACGATCAACAGAAGTTCCGCCCTCATAGAAGAAACTTCCTATCCGAGCTTCCAAGGATGAGAGGGGTCTGGCTGCAGAATGAAGTTCCGTTGTCGACAGGAAACACGTGACCTCCACTCCCCCCTTTTTTTAGTCAGGTTACAGAGTGGAGCTCCACTCAACAGGAAACGTCATCTCCACTCAACAGGAAACGTCATCTCCGCTCAACAGGAAACGTCACCTCCACGCTCAACAGGAAACGTCATCTCCACTCTGGGAACGTCATCTCCACTCAACAGGGAACGTCATCTCCACTCAACAGGAAACGTCATCTCCGCTCAACAGGAAACGTCACCTCCACTCGCTTTTGTTTAATGAACTTTAATGTAGCAAAGAGCCAGTATACACAAGTCAGGAAAGTGGAGGTCACATGTTTCCTGTCACATGTTTCATGTGTATGCTTTACAGGGGGTTCGGCTGTAGTCTGGAGCTCTATTATGGACAGGACTCGTGACCTCCACTTCACTTACCCCCCAGAGGATCCCCCCCTTCCAGACCAGACCATTTTTTGCGATATGGCGCTGCTTTAACTGACAATTGCACGGTCATGCAACCGCGCACCCACATGAAATTTATGGCCTTTTTTCCCCCCACAAATTGAACTTTCTTTCGGTAGTATTTGATCGCCTGTGCGTTTTTTTTTTTTTTATTTTTTGCACTATACAAAATAAAAAAAAAAAAAATGAAAATTTTGAGAAAAAAAAAACAATATTTTGGACTTTTTGCTATTAAACGTCCAGTTAAACAAAAAATAAAAAAATCAAATTTCGGCAAATTTAGGTCAAAATGTATTCTGCTCCGTGTCTTCACTAAACATAATCCCGCTGCGTGTAAATTAATTGGTTTACGTGAAAGTTATGGCGGGATAGATACTGGGATTTCTTTTTTCCTACTACTAATGGCGGCGATCAGCGACTTATAGCGGGACTGCGGTGGGCATTCTGACACGGGGGGGGGGGGGCACGGCTGACTTAGTGGCACTGACCTCCCATCATTTTTGCAGACACCGTAGTCTGTTTTCGGACACAGAGCAGGCGGGTCATTTCTGGGGATGTGTTAGTGAAGGGCGTTCTTATAATAAAGCTCAGCTGTAGATGAAATCAATATCTCCTAAATGTCCTCCGTTCAGGAGATACTCCAGCAGCAGCAGCAGCAGCCAGGACATCACCCGTGCCATTCCTTCAGAGCTGTGTGCCGTGCCCATGAGTGACATCATCGCGACTTGGCCAGTCAGACGACCAGAGCCCGCAAACCTGGGGGGAAGAGCAGGAGAAGATGGAAGCCCTGTGAGCGATGACAGCGCGCCGCTGGAGGGAGTTTCTTTTTCAGGCAAATCTTTCATGGTGTGATGCCGTGCGATGCAGTGCCGTGTGATACAGTGCGATTTGATACGGTGTGATGAGATGAGATGCGGTGCCGTGTGATGTCATGCGGTGCGATTTTATATGGTGCAATGTGATGCGATGCCGTGTGATATGGTGCCATGATACGGTGCTGTGCCGTGTGATACGGTGCCATGTGATGCGACCATGGTGCTGTGCCGTGTGATGTGATGCGGTGCCGTGACATGTAATACGGTGCCATGTGTACAGTGCATGATGTGATGCGGTGCCATGTGATGCGGTGCTGTGTGATGTGATACGGTGCCATGTGTGTGATGCGGTGCCATGTGATACAGTGCCGTGTGATACGGTGCGGTGTCATGTGATACGGTGCCGTGTGATGTGATGCGGTGCCGTGATGTGCCGTGTGATGCGGTGCCGTGTGATACGGCGTGGTGTGATGCGGTGCCGTGTGATGTGATGCGGTGCCGTTTGTGTGATACGGTGCCGTGTGATGTGATGCGGTGCCGTGTGATACGGTGTGTGTCATGTGATGCGGTGCCGTGTGATACGGTGCGATGCGTTGCAGTGTGATGCGATGTGGTACCGTGTGAAACGGTGTGATGTGATACAGTGCGTTGTGATGTGATGTGTAATATGGTGTGATACAGTGCGTTGTGTGTGATACAGTGCGTTGTGATGTGATACGGTGTAATATGTGCAGTGCGTTGTGATGTGATACGGTGCGTTGCGGTGCAGTGTGATGAGATACCATGTAATATGGTGTGATGCGATGCGGTGCCGTGTGATACGGTGCCATGTATACTAGCACATTATATTACCTTGTGGGGTTTTTTTTTCAAGAGACTTTACTGCAGCTGTAAAGTGTTGTCCTTTCGTTCACTTTGTACAT